ACTACTACTACTACTGTTATTATTATTATTACTACTGCAATGCCAGTCGCCAAGTGTCCTTAATTCTGAATTTTTGTGATGAAGGCACTGACATGCTAAGTATGACTTTCTGATTTCTTGACGACAGGATGCAGCATCCCGTTCCCGCAAAGAAGCCGCAGCCTTGGTTTGTTTGGTAACATAATTCCGTCGACATTGGAGATTGCTGGCAACCGTGAGGAAGCGGATAACTGTTCCAATGGCCTTTCAGACGGAGGCATGTGACAGTCTAATTTGGGCTTCGGGTGTTGCAGCTCAATCGCTCCAGCTCATGTAAGGCAAAGTGTCTCAGTTTAGTCTCCCAGCTGTCTGGATCTTAGAGCCATGGGCTGCACCTCCGCCGTACATCTTCATGCCTTCCATGTCAACGGAGGCGGCTCTCAAACGTTCAGAAGCTCGTGGAGGTGGGTCCTGCAAATGAGCGGCGGCCTTGTCTCGAGCTGTGGGTCACCATTTTGAGTCAGACTTCGATGCCTCCATGTGTTTTGAGGTTCATTGTGAGCTGGCCATATGTCCCCGAAGCGCTGATTCCCAACAACCAGTGTGATGGCGTGAGCCAGGCCCTTCTCTTGACAAAATTGACGGGCAGCTTGTAACCTGTTTGTTTTGTGGGGAGGTCTTCACTGTGCATGTTTCAAGATGGCACGAAGAACAAGTCACCCCAGAACTGCAGCCCCTGTGATACCATGGATACTGTGGATCCAAACCGGTTCTCGTACGTTTGACCAGCATTGCGCAGCGTTGCATCTTAACAGTCGAGAACGTCACAATAAAACCTTTGCATGAAGTTCTGACACAGTTGACCATTGAGGCAGTGCGCCGGCTCCTACAGAGTCGCATGACTCCAAGAAGAAAAGAACGTCCAACGCATGCAAAGCATGTTTGACGAAAAGTGTTAAACTGGGTAAAAGCACCCAACCCCTCCCCCGACCCGTCCAAACCCTTCTCATTTGAGAGGCCCAGCATGTTTAAATCCCATCCAAAAATGTGAAGAAATGCGAAAAAAATCAAACCCCTCCCAAGACCCCTCCAAACCCTTCCCATCTGGGGAGGCCCAAAATCTCTGGATCCCCTTCCAAAGATGTGAAAACAATGTTTCGCATTTTGCACATTTTTCATTGTTCACATTTTCACATTTCTGGCACAATCTATTTCTTCCGTGTTTTCAGCATTCTCGTGAAAGCTTGGCACATGCAGGTGGACCGCGTCGACCTTGTCAGGCAAGGATGGTAGCGTCCTGAGAGCCTGGCTTAGCGCTTAGCAGTTGTCCTGTAGCCATGTTCTGATGTCTGAGTGTATTGATTCAGGCGCTTGTAAAGCCAGGCAGATACAGGTTCAGGCATCAGTCAGGAACATCCCGCTGCTTGTAGAGAAGTGGCACAACTTGTCCAAGCAAAGTCGAGATTTCAAGTCAAGAGTCTGTCAAGAATGACCGCAGCAACTTCTTAAGGTCTGACTACTCGAGATCTCGCCACTGCGCCACACTCTCAGCTTCAGTGCAACTGCAGTGAACGTCAGCCTCTCGGGCTGAGGCACAAAAAATAATTCAAATGATGGTTTCGCTGATCAGGCTCCGGGAAACTTGCAGCTCTTGCAGGGCAATGGCATGCATCTCTGATGTAGGCACGATGTCATGATCGTGGACCCAATGCAAAACATTATCATTGACCGTGAAAGTGGTGAGCCGCTCATGATTGATTTTGGTCGAGGCAAGGCAGATTTCTGAAGTTTGCGTTTCTCAGCATGTAACCTGCAGGCGAAACTGCGGGCTCCATATACACCACGCGCATCAAGACTTTCATGAAGAAGGTGCTGCAGTTCGGTGCCTGGCCCACCACCAGAATGTCATTATAGTACAACATCCGGAAGATCTTGACTGGGGAATCTACACGTGCGAAACGACTCTTGCAAAGGCTGCTGGCAAGAAGTATTTCCAAAGCCAGCTATGATGTGGCTCCACGCTTAGAATTTTCCATCAGAAGTCACGAGGCCTCTTGTTGGATGATTGAAAGGCCGCGCGCTACATCAGAAGTCTTGAAGACACCCTCTTCCAATGCCATAACCCCAGAGTCGCAGGATCCCACGTCATCCGACATCTCTTGATGCTAAGTGCTGGGAGGCCTGGAGCGCTGGCAGGATGAACGTACTCGTGATCAGAAGAAGGCTCGCCATGTCCACCCATGTGCACACCTGCAGGGCATGGTCAAGAAGTGCTTCTCAGAAAAGGGGGCGGTGCCCAAGTTTGCAAGTTTGAGTCACTTTGAGACATATATGCATCTGATCAAAGGTTTTGGCCTGCAGGGCGAAGTCTCGTCTTTGTCAGCTATGTTTGGTTGCTGTATGTCGCGCGTCTTTAATCGGTCATAAAAGAAATGTAAAGGATGGACATCGGATTCCTGACGGAGGGTTTGTTCACTGGAAAATGATACCACGCTCACCAGACACGATAACCTCAACACATACCCCCCCAAACCTGGAAAACGATAACACACTCACCAGCTTTCCGATGACCAGTAGCCCAGACAACACAGAACAACCGTACATCAGTACAACATTGATTGCATCGTCCTCAACATTCCAAGTTGAGAGGCAGCCCGGTCTTGTAGCGTGTTATTACATTTTGTTTTTGATGCTGTCCCATTTGGGGCATGAACGGGTCACGTCCGCAGAGTTTTTGGAAAGCACAGGCAAGGAGTCACAATTTGAGGGACCTGTAACAGCCTGTACCTGTAGCCAGGCCTTGGCGCTGGCGACTTCGACGATGAAGTGGCAAGAGGGCATCGAGTGTTGCCGCGAGCCCGCTCCTCAAATCTCGCAGAATTCCTGCCACAATCTGCCACATGCGCCACTCGCGTGTTTGCTTTGACTTTGGTACTTTTGTGATGATCGAGCATCCTACGGGAATGAAAGACTGCCAACGTAGCGCGGGTGGCAAGTCGCAGTCGCAAATGTGCATTTGATCATTAGTCCATGGAAGCACATGCAACGTGCCAAAGCTGCGCTTGCAACGCATTGAGGCATCGCAAGTTGTGAGTTTACTTGACTTGAACTCTGTAAGACCCAGGTGCATTTCAGGCCAAGGAGGATTGGCGGGGAATTTGCAATTCTAGCCGATCCTTTGCAAACTGGCGCCAAGCAAGAACGACACCAGCATGGTAGCATGCGATCATATCTGTGGAGATGAAAGGGTCAGGGTAAGGGACCTGCATGTACAAGAAACGGGGCTCATGCCAAAGTGACAAGGGTTGAGAGTCAGAGTTACTGTGTTAAGACACGAAGCGGGTAAGAGGTCGGTATGCGAGAGCTGGGCAGGCGTGATGCGATTGATTGGATGTTGAATATCACTGTAGATCCCGTACTCTTAACGTGCAGGGAGGTGAACAGTGACCAAGGGTTATGAGCACGTCATACGTTCAGTACCTCCACATGTGCACTCGTTTTCATGTCGTGCCTCTTCTTATGTTCCTCAGCAGGGTTCAACTGGGGCGGGGGAATTGGACAGGTGCCAGAAGACACCCATCCTGACTCATGATATACGAGTGGGATGCCAGCCACTCCTACGTACCTGCTGACGAAAATGAAATGTATTAAAATCCGTTTCCAAGATCAGGTCCGCGTTAGAGCTGATCTGCAGAAAAATCCATCGGGCTTCCGAGATCAGATCCCTCTTTGATGATCCATGTTCGAGCCGAGTTGCAGCATTGTCTTGTCAACTTGACTCCAGCTCAAATCTGTGTCGGCACGTGCACAGTGGTTGAGGATGGTTGAGGTACCTCAAGAGGCCAAGGAAAACACATGTCTGCTTTCTGGCAGTTTGCAGCATCTGCTCGGCATTTGAGAGTTCTCACTTCCCATACAGTTTGACTACTTAAAGCGCGTTCTGTTGCCCAGGATCTGGCACAGTGATGATGAAAACCCCTTTCGAAAGATGTTCAAGGATCAGAAGGACTTGCCTGTGTGAGAAAGGCGATGGCGTCATGCACCATTTTAAGCACACAGACGCATTGACTTCTCGTGCATGCCTTCCGGACAGAGGATCTGTTCCCTGCGGTTTGTCTACTTGCTTGCGGCTGCAGGACGTTCTGCCTGGAGACCGTGTCCTCCGTGAGGCCTGTTCCAGTATGACAGCACAGCTAATCAAAATGCAAATTTGGACTCTTTGCTTGCCCAGGCATGTCCAGTTGATGCAGATTCAGAGCCAGACAGCGAAACGGAGCAGCAGGACAACTCAATCCAAATTGATCATGCTGACCTCGCACGGTTAGCTGAGATATCAGGAGACACGTGACGATGATCCAGAAGGCGGTGCACGCAAAAGCGGTTCTTGCAACAAGGGTATAGTCCTAACATGCTCGGCAAGGGAGGAGATTCGAAGCACTCTGACTTCAGCCCCAAAAAATCCCTGTGCACTTGAAGCCTTCCTGTGGGGCATGTTCTCGATGTCGACTCCGGGGATCATGAGGGCTCTGCGATGCTGATATCAACACGCTTACGCCAGCCTCCACCTTGGAACTCCGGCAGTAGCATGAGCGATATAGCGTTCGGCATGCGACAGTCGCCCCAGGTGCAAAGGCTCTTGCGTGCCAAGCGTAAGAAGAATCGAAGGATAAAACAGCCGGAGAAGCCGAATGTGGGCTTCTCAGTACGTCTTATTTCAAATCTCCAGCAGCATGACGGACGGACACGGACGGTGAGTTGGGGCTTTCCTAGAGGTCAGAATTCACTTAAAAGAGACACTGGCGGATGGAACTTTGGGACTAGGCCTGGTGCCACATAGAGATGTACGCGGCACAAAGTTGCAGGATACAAGCGGAACGTAGTGGAGTGTGACAAAAACAGTTCTTGAGTTTGTGTCAGGGCTTGATGACGCTGATGAAGATCTCGGGGGTCAGCTCGCCTGGGCTCGCACCATGACATTGGCAGTTTTTGAACGTGCCAGGCTTGATTGTTGCCTGTGCCCCAGATTCTATGCTTCAGTTCCTGACCTGGCAGTGTCCGAGCTTTTTCCTGGTCAGCACAAGAAATCAGCAGCATTCAGCGCTGTTCAGAGCTCGTTCCATCTCGTTCCGTCTATCGGGCATGCCGTGGCCTGGTATTGGCTTCTGTCGGCACCGCTGCAACAGAGGTACTCAAGTAACATGGACAGTGATTGAAAGGCTGCATGTAGCGGTTCTTCCACTTATGTTGCGTAAGGAAAGTAATCCTTAGACTGGCGCAAGGTCTCCGTAGAGCGGCAAAGCGAAAAGTGGGGCTGGCAGCCAGGCTCCTGAAGTACTTCGCATCAGAACCTGCATGAGTGGCGAGTGCAGGCGACCGTATTGTCGAGTTGAATGGAATCCGTATCGACGAATGGGATGACTTCAAGTCGGCCTGGGCAACGGCCAAACAGCCTGCGCCTCAAGATCTATGCTGTAGGCCCAGTAGGCTTGGTGTTCGCAAATCAGGTCCTAAGCGTCGCGCAGCAATTCGGCTTACAACCGCTCTTCAACACAACCCGGCTCAAGCATGGACAAATATGTGGGCATCTCCCTGCTGATTTACCATGCCTACAAAGCAGGCATCCTGAGACCCTAAGCCTGACACACGCTTGCCGAGACATGGGAAGGCTTCTCATACTTCTCTTTGCAGCCACACAAGCACAGCAATCAGTTCGTCTAAGCAAATGACAGCATTTTCGTATGCAAATTTGCTCTAATGTACGACATGTGCCAGGTGTGCTTGTCAATCGTTGGCTAAGAAACAATTGACTTGTTTTGAAAATTCTACAGGCGAGTTTCACGGACTTTTCTGTGGCCGCATGCATGCACAAGTGTTAGTTGTGCATGCATGCATTGGCGCGTGACCGGGAGGAACTTGGCTGACCGTCTGACAACTCTTTAGACTTCATGGTAGCATATGTAGCACGCGTTGCAAAGAAGTACCAATTTCAGAGTCTGGGTTCGCGCAATCCTCAGCGAAGTAGACCCGAGACGTGTGCAAGGTTCAGCACCACAGGAGTGGTCTTCGGAGTAGTGCGTGAAGGCCTGCCGGCCCCCGATGAGCCGGCAGAAGCAAGGCTGGAACTCTCAGAAACGAATTCTGCATGTTCTGCATCTTCAATCTTCAGGTGCTGGCACTGCAATGTGAAAGGGAATCACTTGCTCGGCACTCTGGAAAAGGCAACCACCAATGCTTTGCACAGGATGCCTTGTCCGAGGCTTCGCTGCTCGAATTGGGCCTGGTCGAGCAATCAGGATGCACGGATCTTAGGATACAGGTTGCCACTCTGCAGCAACCTGTGCCAGCATGCAAGGGGTCAACATGAGGCAATGTGAGCCTGCCAGGAGTCTTGTTGCGTGGGCTGAATACAAACAAATCTCTTGCCATGTGCAGAAGACTTTCTTGTCATCATTTGCCTTGGACAGTGCCTCATTTTCAGCTGGCAGCAAGGAAATTGTTGCGCGTTCCTCATTTTGAGCGGATCATGTCGACTCCTAGGCTCGGCAGACATGATTTTGGACCTGTTGGTGGGCCCGACCCTGCCCCGCGACCCCAACCCCCATTGAGTCCTTGTTGTCACGGACACTCACGCATAGGTTAAGTACGTTTGTACCAGGCTTGAAGGATGGCTCAGCAAAGCACCGGCACTTGTGATACAAGTACCTTGTGATTATTTGCTTCCCGGCCCCCCAACACAACATCACACCGTCGGGAAGCCGAAGTGGTAGTCGGCAGATGCAGGGCCGGCGGTACCTTCTGGCCCCCGCCTCACAGCAACGTGGCTGGGGCTCGGCACGATGCATGCTGGTAACATAAGGGGGTGGGGAGGCTCACCAAGACAACAGGGGCTGCCAGATGATGAGTGGTCTGGGTAGCTCCCAAACCTCGAGTGATCTGCAATGATCTGCAATCCTCCGACTGCAGCCCTGCCTCCATGTCTTGACAGCAGCTGCAGCCCAGGGCTGCCACTTCAGAAGGCTGACGTATCTGTTGTATGATCTTCCTCCCGGCAATATTCCTGGGGCGTGCAGGCAGTGCAGATATGTGCAGATACTCAGCATTGAAGCATGTTTGCATTCAGCCCAAATCGCGTAAGGATTGTCTGGATTCCTGAAGTCGGGGGTATTCTTGGATTTTTTCAAGCTCCGCAGCAGAAGTTGTCTCGAACGGAGCTTTCAGAGAAGCAGACCAGTCGTGAGGCTGCGTCGCTGCGCATTTTCGCGGTTTTGTGGTTTAGTGAAGCATGGACATGTTCTCCAAACAGTTGTAGGACCCGAAGGTAATTGCGAACGCGATCTGACGGCGTCTTTTTCATAGCCAATTCTGTGGAGCTATGGGGTAGACGCGGAGACGGGCCTTCAAACCCACCATGATGCCTGCCGCGTTTTTGAACAGGGGTTGAAACGGGCCAGATATGGCCGGGTGCCAAAGGCATGCCTCCGCAGCCACACCTGCTAGCCCAGCCCTGGCCAGGCCCTGCACGGGCATGGCTAAACAGCATCTCGGTTTTGTCTTAGACATTAACTTTACTTTCAGCTGATTGACCTCAACGCGCGTCTCTGCTTTAATTTCCTGGCAGAAGCGCCTTGCATGCTTCATCTGCTGGAGTCAAGCGGGACATACTTACGACCAGGGCGAGGTCAAAACAATGTATTTGCCAGCTTCTGGGAGGAGCGTGAGATGATGTGTGATCTGTGTGACGTGAACGGCTCTATGGGCTTCTGTTTGAAGGTCTGCAGCAACCGCACTTTTCACAGGTTTGGGATCCTCCGTTTGCCGCGCCTAGACCAAGGAGGCGCTGGTAGAGCCTCTCCATGTTGATCTCCCGTGCATAGAACCTCTCCCAGCCTGTCTGGAACTGGCGAGGGTCCATGTCCTCGACCTGCCTTAATTTAGGAGCTGGTGTTCTGAGATGGAGCGCTGGAAACCTATGCTTTCCCATCAGAAGCTGTTGTTGCTCAATGTTGCCCGCTTTCTGGAGTAATCAGCTCCTTTGCAAATCGGATTGTTAAGATTTTTACGAACCAAATTCATGCGCTACTGTCTTCACTGCCAAACGCATCTCAATTTGTGCCTGTAGCCTGGCATTGGGTCCAAGTGATTTTTTTGCAAAGATGTGGCTCGGTCCTGGTGTGGCTCTGGTCCCTTGGGCCGGTGGTCCTCTGGTCCCCGGTCCTTTGAAATACTGTCATTTGCAGCATATGAGATGTTCCAAGATCAGCAAAAGTTGTAATTCACAGCACTTGAGCGTTCCAAGACCAGAAGCAGATGCTGTAATTTGCAGCGTTTGAGACGTTCCAAGACCAGCAAATGTTGAAATTTACAGCATTTGAAGCATTCCAAGACCAGCACATGCTGTAATTTGCAGCGTTTGAAATCTGGGAAGACCAGCAAACGCTGGAATCTATTGCGTTTGAAGCGTTGCACTGTGGCCCAGAGCTGATGGTCTGTTGGTCCTTTGGTCTCATGTTGTTCTGGTCCCCTGCTCCCGCGGTCCTCTGGTCTGCTAGTCCTGTGGTCGCCTGGAGTTTGGTCCCGTGGTCCGGTCGTTCTTATCACCAGGTCATCATGCATTTGCAAATCGGGCAAAGGCATCGCACACAATTTTTTAAGCATCAGAAGCCTTGACAAGCATCAAGAATTTACTATATGAATTGCGAAAAGCAATCGTACAAGACGTGGACCTAGGCAGTTCGGATCCTCTGGTCCTGTGGTCCTTTGGACCTGTGGTCATCTGGTCCTGTGAACCTGTAATTCTCTGATGCCATGGTCCTAGATTTTTCATCACTTAGAAATCGCAGAATGTAGTAATGCCCAATGGTTTTGGGGCTGGGGGTCGCGCTCCTCGTAACGATCATCATTATTAAACCCTTGGATCCTCTTGGAGTTTGAGCGATCCTGGATCCTCGCAACTGTCGTTGCTGTTACCCACAGAGCCTCTTGGGCCAGCCGTGCTTCCCATAAACAAGACGCATGATGCAATCAGCATGTTTGCAGTAAGGGAGGGCTATGCGGATCATTTTGTGTGCAAAAGAGGGGGGCTGCGCCCCCCCCAGCCCCCCGGTGTTTTAAAGCCATCCATGCTTGCAATGGAAAGGAAGCATCGTGTCATCACCATGTTTGCAGTGAGGGAAGTTGTGCAGATCATTTTGTTTGCCAATGGGGGGGCTGCGCCCCTCTCCAACCCCCCCGCTGTTTAAAGCCATTCATGCCTCCAATAAAAACGCATCATGGAAAGTTGTGCGGATCATTTTGTTTGCAAATGGGGGCGCTGTGTCCCCCACAAATCCCCTGCTGTTGTAAAGCCATCTCTCTGCCTGCAAGAAAAAGGAAGCATCGTGTCATCAGCATGTTTGCAATGAGGGAAAGTTGTGCGGATCATTTTGTTTGAAAATGGAGGGGGGCTGCGCCCCTCTCCAACCCCCCGCTGTTTTAAAGCCATCTATGCTTCCAATAAATGAGCATCATGTCTTGTTTGCAGGAAAGGAAACCTGGGGGAATTATCTTGTTTGCAAATGGGGGGGGCTGCGCTCCCATGCTTCCAATAAGAAACATCAAGTCTTCACCATGTTTGCAGTGCAGATAATTTTGTTTGCAAATGAGAGGGGCCCCGCCCCCATCCCCCCGTTGTTTCAAGTCCGCCCATGTATGCAGTAACAAGAAGTATCATGCCATCACCGAGTTTGCAGTATGGGAAGGCTGTGCGGCTTACTTTGTTCGCGCCTGACATTTTCAGAATATATCCTAAGCCAGGTTCTTACTGTAAGGAGGGAGTGGATCTTAAACAAATCCTATAGAATCATCAGTGATATATAATGATAGGGTGATTCCTTTTCAGTTCCATCCTTCCGCATCAACCAGCAAGCAAGTTGGAAACACCAAGCCCGCACTTAAGCCTTACTCGTACCCCCCAATTCCAAACGTCCACTTCTTTTCCAGGGAACTAGTTGAAGCAGTGGAACGTTGCAAGGCCAGCATATGTTGTAACTTGCAGCGACTGCTATGTTCCAAGACCAGCAAATGTTTTTAAATTACAGCATGTGAAACATTTCAAGACCATCAGCTATTGTCATTTCTGTGATTCACAGCCTCTGAGACGTTCCAAAACCAGCACATGCTGTAAATTACAGCATGTAAAGCTTTCCAAGGCCAGCAGATGCTGTCATTTACAACATTTGAAACATTCCAAGACCAGCAGATACTGTAATTTACGGCATTTGACGCGTTTCAAAATCAGAAAACGCTGTAATTTGCAGCATTTGTTCCAAGACCAGCAAATGCTGTAATTTGCAGCACTTGAGAGACGTTCCAAGACCAGCAAGTGCTGTAATTTGCAGAATTTAAAGCGTTCCAAGACCAGCAAATGGTGTACGTCATTTGACATTTTCCAAGACCAGCGAGCGCTGTAACTTACAGCATTTGAAGGGTTCGAAGACCAAAAAAGAGCGAGCCACACCTTTGCAAAAAAAAAGCAAGGCCACGCCTTTGCAAAAAAAACTCCGCCCCTGGCAATAAACTGGTACAGCCAGGGTTGACGCAAGCCCACTTTGTGCGCTAGTCTGCTGCAAGCCGAGGTTTTCTTCTGTGGAAGAGACTGCCAAAAGCAAGCCTGGCTAGATGCGAAGCGCAAGGCGAGGTTGCTGCGGTTGACGGATCATCTTGCCGGGCTCCACATAAATAGTATAAGTAGTCGGTGTAGTTCAACCATGTTATCCTATGATATGAGCATGAGCTAAAAACAACTTATTGCCCGGAGCTGCAGATCTTATCAGAAGTTCTAGGTATTCAGCCTGTTTAGCACGCCCGGCGGCTCAGCTTTACGATGCAGGCATGATGCGCAAGGGACGTCGAGGATTGCGCAATCCACAACTTGCCCGACAAACAACTCATGTGATTGGTGACGGCCCCTGCTTCAAGGAGAGCATGCGGTCATGTCAGACTAATCTCCGATGCAACGCAAATGGAGATCCTGCCGTGTTTTCGAGCTTCTGGCATGGGTTGCAAGCCGAGTTGACCTTGCTATGTTCTTTTCCTGTTTTCAAGATTGATATTCGGTGCAGTCCCTCCTCCCCAAAGCCCAACTCGAAGGTGGGCCACTGCCTTGTAACTTGGGCATGTCCAGTGTAAAGCTACTGCCAAAGCTGCAGCATTGCTGGCCATTAGTGCCAGCAAGCAGCCAAGCAACATTAGTTTAGAGAGGGTTTAAGACAGATCTTGCTTCAAATCCAAGGGCCTTGGCAGACTGGATAGTGGAATACAAGTGGTTTAAAACTTAAGATTAGACAGGTCAACGTTAGGACATATTTAGGCCAAGCTTTTCTTTGCACTGCCGTTTCCGAGCAGCATCCAGATTGGTTGAGTGTCGTGCTGCGCGTAGTGTAGTCCAATGTAGTCCAGGTGTGACATCGAAGTTTTCCGGATGTTGTTGGCATCTCAGGATGTCAAGGCGCTCCTAAGCCCGGAATGGTTTGAGCTTCAAATTCTGATTTTGTCACTCAAGCGAACCTTCAGGGAGATTTGGTCTGCACTTTTTCTACCTAAACATCCGCAGAGGGGTTTTTTTGGATGCAAGGAAACTATAAAGTAACTCATCATTCTCGAAAAAAATACACCACTGCAGAAGCGTACTGTACATTGATGCCCGAGAAGCTGCGAAGGTAAGGCCGAGATGAAAGACCCTGCGCGTTTCGAGAACAGCTCAGCTAATTGTCTGCATTTTTGCCTTTTTGTCTAGGTCAGCTTGCTGGCAACTATATTTGCTTCGGCAGCTTGTTCGGGAGTACTTGAATCGCATAAGGCGCGCCTAGCTGTACAATCCTCCGCATTTCCTGACAGCAAAGCCCTTGGGCAGCATTCTGACTGGTAGCTTGGTCAGAGGTCGTTTTAGATACGCTGAAGGCCATATCTCTCAACCTGACAGCAATAGCTCTCCGGAGCCGTTGCTGAATGAGTTCGGCTAGCATGTGGCTGGCTTGAAAATACCACAACAGGCTCCAGACATTGCGCATCGTCTAAGTTTTGGTTCAAGCATTGTATACAACATGTTGTAGAGCAAGGAGTGTGAGACCCCATGCCTGCACTTCTTCGCCAGCGAAGCAAGTCCTTGCGAGCCATTCTCACACAGGTCGAGTTGTTTAGTGCGCGTTATTCAGGATAGGCATTTTTGTGGGAGGCCTGTCTACTCATGCAGAGCTCAAAGCCATGACCGCAACCCTGACAAAAGCACATCCTGCACAATCATCCATGTGGCAAAGTCAATGCCCTTACATCACGATAACATGTGATGAAAGGCTTTGCCCCATGTTCTGCATGGCACACAAATGTGTCCGCTCGCATGGGCATTCCAAGGCAGGCCTTGCCATCAGGTTGCCACAAACAGCATGAGCCGTAGACACATGTAGACGCAGCCTCAGGCCAAAACAGGTACGTTTCCTTGCTTTTGGCTACGAAGGACTTTCTCAAGCATGCCTGAGGAATCACATCTTCTAGCCTATCCCAGCTGACAGACGAAGGTCATGTGAAATCTTCCAGCTAAAGGAAAACAGTAGTAGACCTGCAATGCGTAACCTGAACCTTGGGGCTTCCTGAGATGCATAGCCTCAGAACCTCAACTCCACAGTACTGTAGAAGCCAAACCAAGACATGGTTGTAAACGAAGCAGGGTTCCCAAACCTGCTGGGAGACACTGTTGTGGAGTTTGCAAGAATCCAAAAGCTTGGAACGGGACTTTCCTACCAAAGCTTCTTAGAGACATTTTGGTCTGAGGATTCCCCACCAAAAGGCCACGAGCAGCTCCGAGGGAATCACCGTTTTGGAGAGACGCCTTTGGTCGCGTGTGAGCCTTGACATCCCCATGTGCGCCGATTGAATTTTTGGGCCCTACCGCCAGGGGCTGCCCTGACTGCAAATCACTTAACTCAAAGACTCACCCAGCACGCGCACAAAACCTGCTACCTCGTGACTGTGTCGTGCTGTGGTCCTTGCGTTCGTCTTATATGCTTCCTGTTTGTTGCTTTCATGTGCTAGCTTTCTGGCACGAGAGTATCCTCCTACCCTAGGAAGAGGGGAAGGCAGCATAAATCATCCTATTTCCATGTTCTACCTTTTTGGCTTTTACTGTACCTTCTATTGATCTAGGCTGGCTCTGATCCATTCCCAACACGATCCCTGACCTGTCATACACACGGCACTTAAAGTATAAGCTCAATGATGGATACTGGATGATACTGGAGTGTTCCACCGGGATATACTACCACACGACGGCCCCTCAAGCAGTACTTGTATAAGACCTCTATACCTCGACACAGATCAGATGATATGTATATAACGGCCTATACACCTCAAGCGAATCCTCACGAAATCACGTGATCCTCCGCACGGTCCAGAATCCAAAGTCAATCTCGATGTATCCCTGTACGCCCAAAGAATTGTTATGCTTGATGGGCCTTGGCAGGCAGGAAGTAAGGTGGTTAGTAGCGGCAGCAGCAGCAGCTGTACTAGTACTAGCACTGGCTGGGGAAAATCGGGGGCCTTGTGAGCCTTGTGCCAGAAAGAATGGGCTGCCTTGCTAACAAGCTAACAACCCGGCCGGCATCGACAGGGAAGTCGACCACCCAAGCGGTGAGCGGTTCAGAGACGAATGGCCCTGTATGTTGCTTGTAGCAGCCCCCTGAAGCCCAATCCGTAGATGACAGCTCTGTGCAATCGCTACGCTGCCGCATGGGTTCCATATTATTGACTTCTGTAGCGCTAGCCGTAAAACTTAGTGTGAACCCAATGACATATGATAAGTAAGCTACATAGGCAAAACCTATGCAAAACCTGTATATTTCATACCAGTCCGTTCCAGCCCGGAACCGATGACTATGTGGTGCTGTACAAGAAGACTTTATACGAAGTGGCATAGCCGTACCAGCAGCATACAAAGTCCAAAAGGCTTCCCAACAGAGGTGCCCCCCTAGGACTCCTACATGCGGTACATGTAAAGTATGTGTGGCACGTGTAGTGTGTACGTATCTATAGTTAACCCCTCCAAGTCATGTATGTATACGCCGTAAAGACCCCCTATGTCATTTCGACAGGTTCTCAGTTTAATGCGAACTTTTTTACAAGCTTTGTAGAATGCTCAAACGACTTTTGGAAAATCCATTGCCAGAAGCATGTACATTCCCGAAAAAAAGAGGCCCAGATGCTCCTTACGTAACGTTTCTCCTGGATATTCATACAAGTTCCAATATGAGCACTACATATATCCACAACCAACCCCGTATACAAACTACACAAATATCGCCTGTATGAATTTTGACTCTTCGTAGAGTGATTGTGAAATTCGTGTCGTTCGTATGTTGAACTGACGTGATGCTGAGTGAGTCCTATACCGCAAGTTGTCAAGCGTTTGTTCAGAAAACTCAGGGCTGGAGACCAGGAACCCAGATGCCCGGCTCTTGAATCTGGGATCTTGGTCACAGGGCTTTAAGGGCAAAAAGAGTTGAAACATTCTCCTCTGAGAGCCTCAAGGACTCAGAAAGCAAGAACCAAGATTCAAGGTGTTTGTGCATGTTGGTTCTTCGTTTCTGGTTCTGAGACTTTTGAATGAATACATGCAAAACACGTTTAGAAACGTTTAAAATCCTACGGGTGTGGATACCAGCAACCCAGGATTCAACAGTTCCGGGCGTGTGGCTCTTGGGCTGTGCCCATTGTCGTTTGCAAATGCAAGCGTTAGAAAATGTGTTGAACAACTTTGAGGTTTCAAATCCTATGTTACTTACTTGTAATGATTACTTTGAGCGATTAAGCACATCATTTGTGGGAACTTCCGTCAGTAAGGATTCGATGCTCGAGGGGAGCCAAATCTCTTGAGTCCTTCATAGCCCGCAGACGTGCGCAGGCGGTCCTGAGAACTTTCTGCTCGGGTGCAGGATGATGCCCGTGCACCTGCGCATGACAGGTGGGATGCACGACCACCACTACTACTACTACTACTACTACTATGATGACTACTACTACTACTACTACTAGTACTACTACTGCTACTATTACTATT